TNNNAAATATGATTATAATAAAATGGTTGTTGATGGTTGTTTGAACTACTTAACATATCTTATTATTTTCAAAGTCAAAAGTTAGTAAATACTATTTAAATAAAATTTGATTTTATTTAATATTACTAAATGTTGATTATTTTATGCTAAAATGTTTAGTATAAATATGTGCAAAATGGTTTTGCATTTAAGTGAAGTTTTTGATCCTAAATTTCTAAGTGTTGGAAAGAGAAGAAAGTGTTCTTCATAAAACTTCAAGAAAGAGTTCTTAAAATTCCCAAATAAAATTCATAAATATTCCTATACAAGAAAACCGAGTCTTTTCTACTATCGAAGGAAAGTTGTCGGAACCGGGCTTCATAGGGTGGATACGTTTAGAGGGAAGACGCTTGTATTCCTCTAGCGAGTAACCTCAAGTCGTTGAAGTTACAACCGGGAATCGATTCCCTCATCCATCATCAATAGTGAAGGAGTTCAAGACATTCGGTAAATATTTTTACTAGTATTTACTTTATAGTAACAAATCAAAATTTGTATATGATGCATGTTTTTAAAGATGACGATCAGTTAATTCGCAATTAGTATGTACGGGTGTTGTATTTATACGATAAATACTTACTTTAAAAATTTTAAATTCCGCTGCGTACAGCCCGTACGGTACTATCGAACCCAACAGGAACATCCTAGCAAAAGCCTCATCAATATTTTGCAAGACAACATCTTCGATCTTCGCCTCGTCAACTCCGGTAGACGATCCAGGTGCTCTTTCAAATGCAGCTGGATGTGGTCTTTCCGGCACAACATGAGCTCGTCTTTTTGCTGGCGGGATAAGTTCATCTTCTTCAGAAATATCCGGATTGCTTGCAGAATGGGCCTTCTTTGAGGGTCGCATTGTCTTCAACACCTGTCCACGCGTTTTGGCAGATAACTTTTTCATCGACAATGGTTGACAGTTGCTCACCCACGGATCACGGTGAATGTATTGAACATTCGATGATAAATCCTTGCCGATGTCCGCCATATAAGAGGCGTTCCTCTTCTCGGCCGTTATCACCATAGGTGTATATGGAATCTGGCACAAAAAAATATAACAAATAATCAATCGCCAAAACTAAATTTTTATATTAAACATGCACGTCATACGAAATTGATTTTCAATGAAATCAAGAATTACCTCAACATTATCAAGTTCATTGGCACGATTGAATGGCACCTTTCCACATGTCCATCGAGCGCCCCTAGGAAGGTAGTCACCCATCCGTAACATTCCAGAATCCTTTAAAATTTCGGGAAATAATTCACAAGCCCAGATCTGTGTGGAAAATATAAAACAAACAAAGTTAAATAATCAAACCGCATCATTACAACAATATGAAATAATTGAAAAAAAAAAACATTTACCTGAAGCGCCATGACATACCCGCAGCTATAGAACTGCACTTTGCCTCCACCAGCCGGCGGTTTAATCTGATTTTCTAGATAGTGGTGAAGACGCTGAAAAGCGTATGAACCCCACGGAAATCGCTCAAATTTTGTTGTGTCTTCAACCAGTGTCCACAACCACAATGGCACCAACATCCTCGAGTCCGGGGACAGAATCAAGAAGAAGACTACGAGGATGAAAGCCACTTTAAGAGTCTCGTCCTCCTTAAATCCTTGGAAAACATCATCCTCCTCAAATTGTTGTTGAACAAACTTAGACAACAAATCCTTTCCGAGAACAATCTTACCGTCGAAATATCGACGGTAAACTCCATTAGCCGGTGGGAGGCTCTCATTGGTATCTGGGTCAAAGTCCGAACTGCCGAATCTTAACCCGGTAATTGCACAAAACTCTTCTTTTCCAAACTTGTGATTGCGACCACCAATCCGATAATAACGTTCTTTTTCCCGAGAGTTGTCGACCTCTACCTCTCTCCCAAACAGTGCCAAAAGTAATTTGCCACTGTTATAAGCATTGTCGTGGAATTTCAAGAAGTGACCGACACAAGAGCGTTCAAATTCTGCCAGACGATTGGATGATAGCCTTTCTTTGATATGGTGAATGACCTCAGGCTTCGTGTGACAGTTGACTTTACCGATCCAATTGCGAGAGCTATCCCACCTCCATTTCCAATTATTATCCTGTGATGTTCAACATAATTAAAGTTAATACAACTACAAAGTAAATACATAATTTAGAAAGAAATGTATAACCTTATTTGTTAACCAAGCAAAGTAAACAAAAAAATGAAACACTAGTGATTTTTGAGCAATAAGAAATGGAAANTAAGAAAAAAAAAAAAAAAAAACTAACCTCAATAGGAGAAGTCATTATGATGTCACTCTGTGATTGTGGAAGGAAACTAGTTCAGTTTCGGGGAAAAGCCAGATGTACGTGGATCGATTCCTCTCCACCGATAAATGCCTGAAAAAAAAATTGAAAATCACCAATTTGAACACATCACTTTAAGAGGTGAATGCTAATTCATGAAGAGACAACCTACAATTACAATAAAATAATAATAAAAATGCCGGGTCAGTAGTACCCTATTCGAATGAGATTGGAGTTGAAGTCGAGAAAATTTTAATAAAAAAATCAGTGAAGAAAACCATAATCAATTCGACCCTAATCAAAAACCTAATTCGATACCTCCCCATTTCAACCAAAAACACCATTCTTTTACAAAGTCGATAGCATAAGTTCATCCACACCACCATCAAGTATATCATGAAATTAACAAGGCCAACAGAACAAGAACAAGAACCAAACTTTAATATATCTGTAATTAACAAGGTATATTTAAGTCCGGTGAAATTAACAAGGCCAACAGAACAAGAACAATTATTCAAACCTGAGGTAAAATTTTCCAAACCTGCAGTAAAATTTGGGATCAGACCCAACAGAACAAGAACAATTGTCCCAGAAATTTATTCAAACCCAACAGAACAAGAACAATTGTCCCAGAAATTTATTCAAACCCAACAGAATAAGAACAAATTCACGCTCTTGGACCAGCAATTGAACCAGAAGATGAAAAACCCTAATCAAACCCTAAACAACTAAACAACCGCACCTTGAGAAGCAATGAGATGGTGAGGAAGCCGGCGGAGAAGTGCAGAGCGGCAGAGCAGTGCAGAGCGGCGGAGCAGAGAAATCTGATTGACGGAGCAGTGCGGCGGAGCAGAGCGACGGAGCAGGCAACGGTCGTCGAAGCAGCGGTCGTCGGAGCAGCGGTTGTCGGAGCAGCGGTCGCCGGACAAAGCGCAAGGGTTGCGGAGAGCGTGAGAGAGAAAGAGAGCAGTGCGACGGAGCGGGCAGCAGTCGTCGGAGCAGCGGTCGCCGGACAAAGAGCAAGGGTTGCGGCGGAGAGAGCGTGAGAGAGAAAGAGAACTTGCGGCGGAGAGAGCGTGAGAGAGACAGAGAAATCGGACGAGCGGCGGAAAATTTTTGGGGGGAAATGAAAATGATAAAATGATAAAATGATAAAATGAAAATGATAAAATGAAAATTAGGTTAGGGGTAGTTGAGTAAAAACACATGCCAAAATGGCTAAAAAAGATGATTTTTACAAATGGTGGCTAAAATTTGTGTTTTGAAAACTTATTTGGCTATTTAATAGTATTAACACCTTAAGATAATCAACAAATTTACAAGAACAATTAACTCATCCCACACCTAAATAGGTACACACCCACATACACACACGCACAGAGAAATTGAACAATTCACAAAAAATCACCGTACCTTCTTGCAGATTGTCATTAGTCGGGGTTGCGTCTCTTTGTTGATTTGAAGTCATGTTTGTATGACGCTGGGTCACTAAAAACACTTTAAAATAGTTAGAAACAACATAAAAATCCAACCATTACAAAATATAAAGAAATGAGGACAACAACATCCGAACAACTAGGTTACTAATATAAAACTTTAATTGAGAACATTGGATGAATATGACATAACACATAAGAGAAACACTTGAAGAAAATTTGAAAATAGTATACAAAGGTTTCAAACTGTAACTTTATAACATGGGTAGACAATTTTATTTTCATTTTTTAATCTAATAACTAATATAGAACAACTTATGCCTCGAACCCAAATTAACTGAACTTTTTCTGTTCTGTTGACTGATACATTGATCCGCTCACTCTTAGATAAAATCGTGTATAATCTCTTTTACAATCATGAAATCTTCTTGCACAACCACAATTCAATACTAAATCACAGTCAATTCCTATTCACAACTCTATATCTCTACGGGCAACCAACGGATGATCGGGAGCACCTATATCAATAGAATCCTGAGATGCATTATCATGACAAAGACAATAAAAATACAAGTACCAGATAAGCAATGAAACTTGAAACAGTCACCGATAACTTACAAGGATTCTAATCTTCGCTAGCATCTCCAAATGTTATAATTATGGGTTCCTTCATTTTATGGTTAACACCTACAGGTCCTACACATTACATACAACCATGTTAGAACGTACAAAATCACAAACCNGAACCAACATAGAAAAACGAGCGTATGTCAACCAACGAACTTGTATCGGTCACAAGGGAACTTTCATATTTTTTTCACATGAAATTTATATTAATTTTTCCCCCAAATTTCAGTATGAATTAACCTTGGTCTTAATTAAAACCCTAAAAAATTAAAAATTGATCTCTTGTGGTCATAATAATAAAATATTACAGGAAGTACTCGACTATGGCATGTTTCCCATTGTGAAAGTACCAGCCGATGGACAGTGGCTTCTGTAACGCCCCGTTCGATTTTTAGAATTTTTCGAAATATTCTATTTATCGAATATTATTTATGCAATTATATTTATTGGTCGCGATATCGACTTAAATAAAAGGTTGGAATACTCGATAATTTTTTTTATAGAAAAACATTCGTCGTTCGGCGATCTCGGTTTAATCGCGTGAACCGATTGTAAACCCGTTTATTTATGAATAATTTTGAGAATTTAGTATTATTATTATTATTGTTTATCTTATTTATTGTTATTATTAATTGTTGAATGCTAAAATTATTTTAATTGTCTAATGTGATTTAATTGCCTAATTGCTTAATTGACTAAATATTAATTAATTTCCTAATTGTCTAAAATGCTATTATTATAAATTATTAAAATGTGTGCTTGTATTTTTACTAATTTATAATTGTTATTATTTTAAAAATTATAATTATGTGTATTATAAACATATATTATATATCCGGGTTATTTATTTGTGCGATTAAATTTATGTATTGAGCCCGAGAGAACCGAATTTTAATCTGCGTCAAGTTGGGCCCGAAAGCCGAGCCCGAGAGCTGGCCCAAACCACCCAAACCCGGCCCGTATGCGTGTGGTGAGGTGAGTCTTGTAGGACAAGACTTCTAGCCCTAATCGTATGATTAATCTCGCTCGATAGCAGAGATTATAAGAGCGCAGCTTTTCCTTCGTCTGTTCAAAAACCCTCGCCATCATCTTGCTCTTCGATCGCGACTGAACAGGAAGAAAGATTTCCCTCATCGTCATCTTCACCCTAATCCCTCTCCCGCACATCACCTTCGCTTCATCTTCTTCATTCCCCCATCCCGCCATCTTCATTCGCGCAGGCCATCTCCGATAACCCTCCTTGTTTCCGCAGGCCAATTGCCACCGTCGTCCTCCCGCTATTTTCCGACTGTCCCTGTTCAAGTGAGTCCTTCCGGCGTGAATCCATCGCGAAGCCTGCCCCTCTCCTGCCCGTGACCTTCATCGGCAAGCACAACCAGTTACAGCAACTCTCTTCATCCTCCGCGCAGCGACTCCTTTCCCGGCGAGACGAAGTTTGCCGTCGAGCCTCGAGCCATCTTCGCCATCTTCGCGCGCGTTCGTTCGAGCCGTCACCCTTTCCGTTCGAACGTTTATTTTTCCCGAGAACGGTACAAGGCTCGACTCGTCTCGTTTAATTTTACGTCTCGTCTATTTTGTGTTCTTGATTGTCGTATGTGTATATTGAATTCATAAGAATATGCCTATGTGATTTTTATTTGTGTTCATGAGGTTATTGTTGTGTCGAATGTGAAATTGTGCGTTGACGAGCCTTTCGATTTTGGAACAATCGAATGAGGCCTCGTCAACTCGTGAATTTGTCGCTGTGGGCTGGAACTTATGTCGTCCATAGTCTTATGGCGAAGACTTCGGACGGATTCGTCATAGAATGAGTCGGTTATGAATTAACAATTTTGTATTGTCGCTGTTTTGGTAGATAAATTTTGATAAATTTTGTGATTCTCGTATTGCTGCGAAATTTTGTGTGCTCGACCCTCTGCTGGAAATACCTGTTGTGTAAAAATTTCAGATTTAGATAATAAGTTTAGCTATTTTTAATAATTATTTGGAAATCTGAGCAGAATCTTGTAAAATGCATATTAAATTCAGTTTTGCCACAAAAATTATGGAATTTGAATATGATGTCTTCCTGTGTGTTTTCTAGGTCGTGTTTGGAATTTTTGGACTTCGTTTGCTATATTTAAAAATTGTTTGTTGTATTCTGCAGCTTCATAATTTAATTTTAGTAAATTGAATTCTTGCTGGAAAATTTTGAAACTTTACTGAGAGGCTTATTTAATGTACTTATGCATGCTGTTAAAATATGAAAATTTTTGGAGTTCATTTTAGTTCGATTTTGATTTAAATTTGATAAACTGCTGAAGCTCGTTTGAATTTTTAAAAATAGAAGCAGTTAATGTTAAGGGCTGGGATTTTTATATGTTGTTTATATCATGCTGTAGTGTATTGTGTAAAATTATCAAGTCCTGAATCATTCATTAAGTTTGAGTATAAATTCATGGCTCTGTTTTGCTGATATCTTGTGAGAATTTTATAAAATAGTGTACTTGGGATTTGAAGCTGAAAATTTGTGTATTTTCTTAACACTGGGAGGTAAAATTTATGTTAAAATTTCAGAGCTAAATTCATATGGCAACCTGGTCAACTCATTTTTGTGATTTAAACTTGTATAATCGTAAATGTGGTTTTTAGAATGAAAACTGTTAACCGACTCGTCATTTATTTCATTAAGTGTTTGGCTTGGTCAATGTTTATGTTTGATTATGTGAACTCCCATGTGTAATTGGTTGAGTCTAGATGTCAAGTCTAAGTGTTCCAACGTCCACAGGACTTCACGAACAACTTAGTTGAATCAAGTTCGACTAAGTATGATTGTGATTTCTCGTTTAAGTCTGAATAGGTGTTGATTATAGCATCTGGACTTAATGTAGGTGTTTGACGAGCCGAGCTCGCAATCTAATCGTGCTTTCGTGATTATCTCTTATTTGCGACCAAGTG